GTTGCCGTGACTTCGGATCTGGAAAAGGTTTCTCACATGTTGGACAAGCTTTTACCCCTGGTGTCCCCTCGAGACTCCGTCGTCTTGGTTCATATCGTGGACGAGAGCGCGGAGGACGTGATCGCCGGGGAGGTGGCGGACATCGAGCAGGTGCTTGGTGCTGTCGTCGTCGCTTCTGCTGATGTCGTGGGATGCCGTTGGCAGATGCTTCGTGTTGCAGCAGTTATCGTCATCATCGTCGTTGTTGTTTGTGTGGTTGTGGGATCACTTTGACCGTTGGCGGGCAAATCCTTCGTGTTGCAGTAGTTGTCGTCGTCGTCGCCGTGTGTTGGCGCAGGATGGTAACGGTGTCACAGCAACAACTACAAGTAGTAGCGATCACTAAGACGGCAAACCGACGCAATCTTCACCAGAAAAAGGGGAAACGTTTTCTTGAGTTGGCGGTCAACCGTGGTCCGCACCCCAAGACAGAGCACGCACACTACCGCCTCGCACTCAATCGCACCTGCCTTTCCTCGCGCCGCTAAAAGGTGAGGAGCGACCTACTGTCGCTGCTGTCCCACAAGCGCGGCCTGAGCCACCGAGTGAGGGTAGAAACGACAGGACGGCCCCCGGAGCACCCGACTCAGACGGTGGTGCAGAAAATCGTCAAGGTGGCGGAAGAAGAGGTGGGTGGGAAAAAAACGTCGGTTTGTTTGTTGGTCTCTTTTCTTGGTCGACGCAGTGAGATATTGACGGCGAAGAAGAAGGCGTCTCTTCTATGTGTACCGTACACCATCCGGCCGTTTCCTGCGAATCTGTCTGGTTGTAAGAGCGTGGTCGCTCAAATGACGACGATACAATACTTTTTACTCTGCAGGTTCAGAGAGCCAAATATACCCAGGAATCACCGTAGGGGGTTTCAACATACATACATACCTCGGCGCTTGTTCCTGATGGTATCCCCCCCCCCCCCCCCCCCGTCTACTATCTAATGCCGACCGACCGATGATGATGTTGATTGGTCGCAGGCGGCAGACTTCTTGGCCATCTTGTACGACGAATCCAGGGGCTCGTACCGCACGGTGGCCACTGGCTGCCTCAGAGAAACTCGTTGTGGTCTGATCGCGATTCACTGATTGAAACAGACAAGATGGATCTGATGATTATGGCTCGTTAGTAGATCTCAATGAAGGTTCTCTTGGTAGTAGTATGGTGACGGCATGCTTTGGTCGGTTGATGTCGATACTGCAGCTGTAGCTGTGGCAATGACCTAGACGAGCTGGAAGAGAGAACCGGATACGCTTGTTGCGACCAGACAGAACGTTTTTTTCCCTGTTTGGTTGTGGCTACCAGTATCATCAGCTTTCGTGTCAGTGAGGACTTCTCACCCTTGTTTTTCGTTTTCCGAAAATAAATGTAGATCGTTTTTTACTGTGGGTGGACAGCGATCGCAATAATACCGTGGCAGAAACTGGCAATAAAACAGGAAGGTTGGCCGGTGTGTATCAACAGTCGTGCAACCATATTGTATCTCCTCTCCTGGTTTGAAAGCTCTCGCCTGAGAGACGCCTGGCCGGTTTGAAGGGACAGGTCGTCGCCGACGTCTCTCCTCTCTCTCTTCTCTTGCTTCCTCAGCCGTAAGAAAAAGAGGCAGGGAGAAGAAGGCTACATAGTATTGATAGCACAGCCGATACCCCGACCGATGCAGAGGAGAGACAGAGACAACCAAGAGAAGGAAGAGGAGGGCGGAAGCACTCATCCCCACCGCACTAAAGCGTAGCCGTAGCACGTGTTGATTCAATCAAGCCCCGTGGTTTACACGCCCGCCGTTTCAGTCAGGGCGAAACAGCATGCGCAAAACACGATATTTCGTCGGATATAGCTCCTGTCCTACAGACCGCGCCGCCACAAAAGAACATATTTATTTTTGTGACCGGGCCTCGTTTCTTATCGTGTCCATGGGGCTGTGTCCTCACGGCGACTATGTAAGATTAGCGTTTAGCCTCTTGACTGAGATCCTGTCCGTTCGGCCAGGCTCTTAGCTTTTTTACTTTGTTAGGCTCACGTTCTTAACTACTGCACCACCAGTTCTTCGAAGTGATGCCACGCTCTATATAGCCCCAGGAGGGAACACAGGCGAAGACGATGGCAGGCTCACGCGACGGGAAGAACAAGACGCCCGTCAACAGCTCTCCCGAGGAATGTGTGAAGCTGCTGCACGGGCACATGCAAGACTTAGTGTGCAGTTCGTGCCCGCACTTACAAAAAAAAGGGAGTTGGCAGTCAAGAAACTGAGCCTCGAAAAAACGCCGAAAGAAGAGCTTGAGCACATTTGTGAGCTCGAGCTTGGGAGACGTCAGCTAGCTGTGGGCTGGTCCTCCTGCCGCCTTTCATGTTGCATCAATCATGTTCTTTCATGAGCCCCACTCCGTAGGGATCTATCTCACTTGTATGCATTATACTACTGGCTGCTGGTGAGAGCTACACGTACGTTGGGGCAGCAGCAAACAAGAATTATTGACATTTTTATCCTAGCCCGGGGGGGGAGGGGAGTAAAACCATACAGAGAGAAGGTGCGCAATCCGTCTGTCGCCGCTCATCTTTCTTTCTACCCTGTCCCCCCTCCCCCCCTCCTTTTCTTCCCCTCAAGCGACCTAACAAAGTTACACTAGCGGCGGTGTAGCGGCCGTCCACAAACTTTTTCTCTTGAGAAACAGTTGACGGGCATCTTGCCAATTAAGTTATTACAGTTTGTTTTCTACGACGACAAAACATCAACACCTTTACGAAGAACACGTAAAAATCGAGGTAGGAGCCTA